CCCAGCCAATCGGTGCGGGCGGAGCTCGTGAAGCGCTGAGGCGCGGCGCCCGTCCTCTCATCCGCCCTCACGCGATGGCGGCGAAAGAGTGCCGGCGGCTGGACGCGGCGCTGGCCCGGCAGCTGCTCTCCCAGACGGAGGCGGTGCTCTTCGACTGCGACGGCGTGCTGTGGCGGGGTGAGGCGGCGTTGCCCGGCGCGGCCGAGACGCTGCACCGGCTAGAATCGGGCGGCGCGAAGCGGCTCTGCTACGTGACCAACAACTCCTCGCGGACGCGCCAGGCCTACACCGAGAAGCTGAGGCGCCTGGGCTTCCCGCCCGCGGAGCCCGGCCAGGTCTTCGGCTCCGCCTACTGCGCCGCGCGCCACCTCAGCCGCGCGCTCCCGCCGGGCGGCGCCGCTTACGTGCTGGGCGGGCCTGCGCTGAGCGCGGAGCTGGAGGCGCTGGGCGTGGCCCACCTGGGCGTCGGCCCCGCCCCCGCCCCCGGCTCCGCCCACTTCGGCGCGCGCGCCCCGCTGGACCCTTCCGTGCGCGCCGTCCTAGTTGGCTACGACGAGCACTTCGCCTACGGCAAGCTCTGCCTGGCGCTGCGCTACCTGCTGCGGGGCGACGGCGACGGGCATGGCTGCCTGCTGGTGGGCACCAACCGAGACAACCGGCTCCCGCTCGAGGGCGGCAGCGCCGTGCCCGGTACGGACCCCGACCCGCACCCTCCGCCGGGCGGCCCACCTTTGCCATCCCGCTGGTAGCCAGGAAAAGGGGATTTTGGGGAAGCGGGTGCAGGAAAGACTGGGCGGGGTAGTTCTGAGCAGCTCGTGCAGGTGGCCCTCGATTTAAGGACCACCGTTTATGTTGCTAAGCGAGACGCTGGTGAAGTGAGTTTTGCCCCGTTTTACGATTTTCCTTGCCACAGTTGTTAAGTGCAATCATTGCAGTTGGTAAATTAATAACCCCGGGGGTTGTTAAGTGATTCTCGCTTCTCCATTGCTTGTCAGAAGGTGGCAAAGGGGACACTGCAACGGTCATAAATGTGAATCAGTTGCCAAGCAGCTGAAATTAGATCAGGTGACCATGGGGATGCTGCAGTGGTCAGAAGTGTGAAAGATGGTCATAAGTCACTTTTTTCAGTGCCCGTTGTAACTTCGAACGGTCACTAAGTGAACTGTTGTAAGTCGAGGACTGCTGTACTTGGGACCCTCCCAGAAGTCTCTTTGGCTCAGCTAACTCTCTGAGGCTCTGCAAGGTCACATCTCTTGCCTTCCTACTTGTAAAATCTTAGGTTGAGCTGTTGACTTAGACGCTAAACCTCTTACAGTTTAATCCTGGGAGGGAAAGGCATAACAATCCCTAAACAACCTTGTACTAATTATATTGGAAATAGAGTGTCTTTCTCGGAATTGTGCTACTGGAAGCTGCATACAGCCCCCCCCTCCCCCAAAGCAGTAAAGCCCCATTCTCAGATTCTGGATTAAAGCCACGTGTAGAGTAATAATCATTATTATTTAATTGGTTTGTATCCTGCTTTTCCATCCAGTATCCATGACGTTCAAATATAAGTAAACACCATTTAGAACTACTTTTGGTCTAATTGATAGGACATTTAACAAGCTATCCTGTCCCACTTCCACCATTTGTAATGGTATATAAAACATTCCATGCATGGCTAGGAAGATTGAGAGAGTGATGTGCACATGAGAATATTAAGTCCTCTGTGCTTGAAACATTGGAAATAACTAAGGACACATAGGGAATGAAAGGTGCTGGGTGACATATAGGACACTCAGAACAGGGGAAGAGAGAGAGGCCTTTATCTACATAAATTAGTTAGATTTTGTTTTAGCAGAAACCCAGAATAAATAAAATGACCTTGGTTCAACTAGATGACAGTCCAACCAGGACCTGCCAAATGCAATGTGTTTATTTCAGGTTCAAAAACAAAATTAATTTCCCATTTTGTGTATACGTGTTCTTTTTTCCCTGGGATAATACTCATCACATAACAGAAATGGGGTTCTGTCCACAGAAATTTAAATTTTGTGGTCCTGAAGCCTATTTGTCTGCTGCATCATGGCTTTTTCATTGCTCAGCTGATGTTCGGAATAATAATTGGGTCACACCTTATATATGCATTTCCTTCTGGTGTTGCCCTCATTCCCTGGATCTGGAGATGTGCTGACTTTGGATCTGAAGTTGAAAAAGCTGTAGAGCAGGCATAGGTGCAAGCACACCACTTCTATGCTGCCTCCAATAAAAGAGGCATATTTTCTGGGATTGCATGGTGGCCATGAAATCCGGCGAAACAAAAGCTTGAGTGAAAGCAATGCAAACAAAAGTTGTTTCAATTTCAGGCCCAAAGGGGCAGGACATCCCCAACTTCAGCCATACAGGGTTTTTTTCCCCCATTAGCAAACTAAAGACCAAGTTGTATGGCCCGCTCAGGTTTGCACCAGTTCTTCATATATATTTTTTGTCTTTCCTCCTTTAGGGACGGGCTGCCTCGTCAAGGCAGTGGAGACAGCTGCGGAACGGGAAGCCTTCATTGTGGGCAAGCCCAGCCGTTTCATGTTTGAGTGTGTGGCCAGCGAGTTTAAGATTAACCCTGAGCGCACAATCATGGTTGGTGACCGCCTGGACACAGACATCCTCATGGGCAACACCTGCGGCCTGACCACCCTCCTCACTCTCACTGGGGTCACGACACTGGATGAGGTTAAGGGCCACCTCAACAGCGACTGTCCTGAGCGCAGAAGCCTGGTCCCCGATTACTACATCGATAGCATAGCGGACCTCCTCCCTGCTCTCACCGATTAAGGAAGGGAGACGTTCCAGGTCTGCAGAGGTCTTTCTTCATCCCAAGCCACCTGCAGTCTCTTCAGGCTGGTAGTATTTTCTCAGTTACTGCGGTGCAGACAATTGCTGCTTGCAAAAGTAAGATGATTTTCGTGCGCAACATTCAAATTGAATTCTCTGTTTACAAATTTCTGTTTAAAAATGCACTTTGAGAGAAAGAGGGAAGTGTGTGTGTGTGTGTGTGTGTCTATCAGCTTTCAGATACATCAAGCTGTGTCTGGCTGGTGTTCAGGTATCAGGGTGGAGGCCTACTCAGCCGAGCTGAAGGACTGAGCAGGCTTCTGTTTAAACCTTGCACTGTGGTGTTTTGTAATGCAATCTTTGGAAATTCAGGGAATTGAGCAGTTTTAAGGGCAGCTGCTCTGGTATCTGAGACATGATGTTAAAGTTGGTTTTTATGGTTACTTGGGTTCTGGTTCAGCTATTTCAGGGGAATGGAAATCATTGTGTATCCATTTGTAATGTTTTTGCTCCTGCCCAGTAGCATTTGCACTGCTGTATATGCAAAACAAGAATTACACCATCACGCTTCATATGTTTCTCTAGAAATTCTCTAGAATTTCTGATTGCGGTGCCTATTTTAAAAACATGTTACAAATTGGTTTTATTGGTCAAGAAGCATGTAATAAAAGTCCATTATTCAGATCATCAGAGTGAATTATATTTGAATTACTTGATTAACTGTCAGGATAGAATGCTGAGTTCATTTGTCAGTCCGTGATAATAGGAATTCTTCATGGCAACAGTGAATTTACTAGCATTTTGTTCTTCAGTATCATAAATAGATGCAGGTTTTTTTTTTCCTAAAGCCATTTTGAAGTCAGTGTTGATGAAGCAACTATATTAACATATTTAGTGCTTCCTGTTGAAATCTTCTGGGTTGATGGTAGGAAAAAAGAAAAATCTTTTGCAGATCTGTCTTGGCACTTGCTGAAAACAAGCATATGAACCATTTTTGCCTTGTCAGTCTGCAGTAAACATGATTGCACTTTTCAGGTGCTCAGGCAGTTTTCTTCTTGCAGAATCAGTTGCCAGATTGTCACCTTAAAATTGGGAAGAAAGGAAAGATACTTCTTTTTTTGCTTCAGTTATCTTGCGTGGGCAGCATTTTCAATATTGAAGGTGCTTGAAATTTCTCACTTTTTCATACAGCAATAATTGCATTATCTATAGCAAGGCATTCTGTGATTATAAATTTATGTTAATCTCTCCACCTCTTTTGAAGTGCTGAAAGATAGATTATTATGTCTTCAAATAATTTTTCTCTTTTTTTCTTTTAAGTTTATCAGCTTTTCATTTGCAAGTCTAAAAGATTGTTTTCTTCTTTTGATTATGTAAAGTCTGTGAACCAAATAAAAAAAACAAAACGGATCTCTTGGGAGGACTTGTTCTGAGACCGTTCCAGAGAGATTCAGGGCCTTGTCAAATCTACATTAAATGCTTAGATGGTCAGAGCAGTTGCTCAAACAAGCTGGCCACAAAGTGGAACCAGCCATCTGCTTTCCTTGCATCTTTTCTTAACAAATTCGCATTGCACTGTCAAATTCTCAAGCGGGCACCGTAAAACTGTTACCTATCTTCAATCCAGACGTTGAGTCATATTAAACATAACTCTTGCTTCCTTTTTGTGTGTCTGATCTTTTCATTTTACACTAAAGGAAAACTTTTCCCCTTAAGAGTATTTTAAATGAGACCCCAAGACACCCCTAAATTGATGTATAAATTGATTTATTGATAGGTTGGGTAAGGAGAGATCATGAGGCCAAACCTGGAACAGGGCTGGGGTTACAAAGATGAGAATTTTATCACTTCCATTTTTGGTTACATCACACAGCAATGCACTCCATGTGAACCATATGGAACATTCTCCTTCCAGAAGTTAGGGTGCCCTGGTACCGCTGGCCTTTCATAAGACCCTAAAGCTGCCCAGGCAGCCCCCACTGTGTGTGGTCCATGTGCAGTTCAAAATTCAGGTGGTCATCTTTACAATTTAACAGTCTTCCGTTTAAAGTAGAAGTCTTCAAATTTAGCAGCTTTAAGACTTGTGGATTCAACTCCCAGAATTCTCCAGCCAGCGTAGTGTAGCTGGCTGGAGAATTCTGGGAGTTGAAATTCACAAGTCTTAAAGCTGCCAAGTTTGAAGACCTCTGTTTTAAAGAGATGGGGTCAAGGGAATTTTGAGATCACTTTTCCACAACGGTTTCTGCCCATCCTTCTAGATCTGGCCAGGGTGGGCATGTTCCAGCTCCCCTTTGTGTAATAGTCACCTGGTAGAGGCTTGGTCTTCTCTCTTATGGTGCCTATCTTACAAAACCACTCCCCCCCCGGTCCCTCCCCAGATACTGGCCCATCTTTCTGTTGGCCTTCAGAAAAATAGTGATGAACAAGGTGTAGAATGGGCGAAAGATGATGGTGAGAATTATCAAGGCCTCAACTTGGCTTGTTTTAAATTATCTCGGCCAATCCGTCTCCTGTAATACTGTAGTTTTCAATGTAACCCATCCCCCAAAGGAGGCAGGGTTTGAGTCAAGTCCGTAGTTTGTTGAATTGCATCCAGAATTGTGGTGCGTCTCAATTGTGAATTGTGGTGGGGTCAGCATGTTCAATCTCTTGTTTCCCTTAGCACCTTCTAACAACTGTTGACGTGCCGTATTCCAAAGGAGCGTTCTTGGGAGGCGATAACAAAAGCTTGCAATAATTAACAGCACGAATAAGAGAAGTGTGGGAGATGGAAGTTGCAGATGAAGTTAGGAATTTTCTCTTCCTCCACATGAATTACAAACTCCATGAGGGTATTTTGAATCCATACAGTAAAAATAGAGTTCAGCTAAATGCCAAGTCACAGGCTCTGATGAGTCCAACAAGTTCAGTTGTTGCAGCAGGACAGAAAAAAAGATTCCAAAACCGCATGAAAAAAACAAACAGAATATCTGGTACACCTTTCTCCTGCCTTGGAGACAAGGGCCCCCAGAGAAAAAGAATCAAGTCCAGATTATCCAAAGGGGCATCTGGAGGACACCTGTATTTTAGTGGACTTGGAGCACTCCTTGCAAGAGACCTCCACCCATAATGCGATCTTCCTATCTCCCCCTCCATCAGCCAATTCCAAATGAATTCCATCTGAAACCCAATACATGCTAGCATCCAATTTACATCCTAGGTCCCTTCAAAAAAAAACCCCACCGGCATAGAGTCACTGAGTAAAAAGGCACATTCAATAGTCATGAACCCCAGTTGTACTCCACCTAGTCCCCAAAGGAATCAAGAAGCAATTCCAGAGGCCAAATAGGTTTGTCTGAAGCAGGGAAATTAGAGAAATAAAGAAGTCTGTAAAACAAAGGGTTGCACTGGTGTTTTATCAGCAAAGGAACTTTGTGGCCCAGAGAGATTTGCACCCATAAAAGGACCCAGCTGATCCACAGTTACAAACCCAAAGCTCCCAATGTCACCCCTACTCCTCTTTGTTAGACTAGACATACTCAATTCACTGGCAAACTAGAAGGATTGCAGAGCTCACCTAACAGTGAGGGCTGTGGGCTGAGGGAATGGTGCCCAGTCTTAAGCTGGAACTGTGATGTGCAAAAATACGCTTGTTTGAAGGTGGAGAATGAGAAGGCTTGGTATAAAAGCATTCCTCTCCTCCGCCTCACCTCTGGTTATCAGTGGGTCTCAGAAGAAGGAAGAAGGCTGCTGTGATCTATTGCCAGGTATGATTGCTTGGCAAGAGAAAAGGGCAGGTGTGCCACAGAAAGATGACAAACAATGACAGGCCCGCGTGGCCCAGATCTCAGAGCAGGCTTGCCTTGGAATCTCTTGAATCCTCTAGCAGGACTCTATAAAGTCTTAATGAGACCACACCTAGAGTACTGCATCCAGTTTTGATCCCCACACTATAAAAAACATGTTGAGACTCTAGAAAGAGTGCAGAGAAGAGAAACCAGGATGATTAGGGGACTGGAGGCTAAAACATATGATGAACGGTTGCAGGAACCGGGCATGGCTAGTCTAGTGAAGAGAAGGACCAGGGGAGCAATCTTCCAATATCTGAGGGGCTGCCACAGAGGAAGGAGGTCAAGCTATTTTCCAAGGCGCCTGAAGGCCAAACAAGGAATAATGGATGAAAACTGACCGAGGAGAGATTCAACCTGGAAATAAGGAGAAATTTCCTGACAGTGAGGACAATCAACCCATGGAACAGAAGTTGCCTTCAGAAGTTATGGAAGCTTCATCACTGGAAGCTTTCAAGAAGAGATTGGTCTGCCACCTGTCAGAAATGGTGTAGGGTCTCCTGCTTGGACGGGGGGTTGGACTAGATGATCTACATTGGTCCCTTCCAACTCTGTTTATCTGTTAAGGACACCAAGGAATGTGGAGAGCTGACCAGTCCTGCTGAAGGTTTACTTCATGTCCGTGCAGAGTGTGGCTGGAGAGTTTCTGCATAATGGGGATATGGTGAGCTTTGGGTTTGCATCTCTCTGTTTTCAACTCCAGCCAAGAAGAGTTTGGGCACCTGGAGCTAACCTGTGGCCAATCTTGAAAACCTCTAGTAGGCTCAGATCAGACAGCAAAGTTGTGAGCTAGGTTGGGGAATCAAAATCAAAATCATCTCAGAACAAGGCAAGACCCTTCCACGTTGCTGTCCTGACAGTTACATTTTGTGCCATGGATGAACCAAGAATCAAGGCGCCTTTTCAAGTTTGGAAAGGAAATTTTTTCTCTGTTTCTCAAATCAGGAAATGTAGACCTTTCCTCCCACAAGGGTCTTGCAATCTTGAAGGAGGTAGAAAGAGACGGGGGGGGGAGGAAGAGGAAGGGTGGGGGAAACCAAAGGAAGTAACTATTTCACAACAAACATGCTTTTGTGATGTATTGATTGCAATTCACACAACTTTCTCAATTTGGTCAATGAATTCACCCAGTTTCTGGGTTTTCATGAAAACCAAACCATAAACTAATCCAAAAGCCATTTGAAACGAATCAAACGAAACACCCCACGCAAATGGGCTCTACCAAGATGAAAGTTGTGGGAGAAAACTGTTTCCTTATCTGATGGGTTCTTGTCCCTGAAGTTCCAGGACTGGGTACCTCCTTTCCTTGTGCGTGGAAATAAGCGAGCAAGTGAAAGTGATGGGAGCAAAGAGCATCTCTCCAGAGGCAGTGGAAGATGGAGATCAGAGGACACTCTGGAGCTGGTAGGCAAGCAGGGCATTCAACACCCCCTTTCCAACCTTTGCTCTCTGGGTCTGGGGTGGCAGACAGCTGCTGTCCCCCAGCCAGGTTCTTTCCTTCCTACAAGAAAGGGCTGCGGAGCCCTGGAACATCTGCCAGCGTCAAGGTCCCTGACACAAAGCCCTCGATTGTGCTCCCATGAATGCCTTGGCTGTCTCTCCGGGCAGGGCAGGGCAAGCATCACTGGGGCCTGGCCAGCATCTCTCTGCAGCCCCCCTTCCCTCCACCCACTAGGTAGTCTAGTTTCACCTCCACATGCCTCTGCCCAGGCTGGGAATCCAGGGGCATTGCTCACCTGGCTCTCCTTGGGCACATTCTTGGATATCTAACTGGGAGTTCTGGAATTACAAGGCAATTCGACTCAGTCTGAGGAAAGAAAGATCCGGGATGGAGGAGCAGGCCGTGGCCCACACTACTCTCAACACAGTAAGTAGCCTTCCCTCCGCACCAGGTTTGCCCCAGGGAGGGCCACAGCCCTGACTCCCTGCCTGCAAGTCAGGGTCCCGTCTTAATGGTGGTGGGTGCTTTTATGCACCAAAATGGTTTTAGAGCTGCTGGATGCCCTGGGCTCCATCCATGTTGCCCTGGGGGAAGAGAAAGGATGCTGCAAAAGTGAAGCCCCTCCATCACTCCCGAGTCCAAGTGCCATTCCGTAGGTTGGGAACTCAGCAGCCTGCTTGAATCTCCTTTCCCCTACGTAGAGAAGCATCTGGGAGGCACCTGCTAGTTACAATGTCCCATAAGGAATTAATCGACTCAGGTTTTCCACAACCAGATGCCTTGGTCTGGCCGGCCCTTCACATCTGGAAGGGACCCATTTGGAGAGGCTGAAGGTGGGGCTTTGTGTTGTAGATGCCATAAGATGAGGGCTCTATTCTGAGAGCAAGTCCCACATTAATCACTCAGGTAATTACGTTTCTTCTTTGCTGTAAGTTTATACTTGCAGTGTGTGTGTGTGTGTGTGTGTATACACATGTATATAGAGATAGGTGTAGAGCTAGAGATAGAGAGATAGATACTATAGATAGATATTGTAGATAGGTAGGTAGACAGACAGACAGACAGACACACAAACACTAGATAGATAGATAGATAGATAGATAGATAGATAGATAGATAGATAGATAGATGATAGATAGATGATAGATAGATGATAGACAGATAGATAGATAGATACTGTAGATAGATATTGTAGATAGGTAGGCAGACAGACACAGACAGACACTGTAGATAGATAGATAGATAGATAGATAGATAGATAGATAGATAGATAGATAGATAGATGATAGATAGATAGATAGATAGATATAGATAATCAATTTGATAACCAAAATAAGTCAATCGGATGTTTCATTTTCTAAGGGTACAGGAAGGCTACAATTTATACATTACTTATATGCTGTGGCCCAAACCGTTGGGACATATTTCTCTAACTCTTGGAAATATCTATAGCTTTTGGAAACTTAAGCATCAAGCAATGGCACTAAAGATCAGTCTACATTATCTTACATAATTCTGATAGCAGAAATGGAGAAGATAAACCGCTCCAATGCTGTGGTTTTCACATAGCTCAAAAATGAGTGGTTGATAATCTTCATTGCTCCATCAGCTTTGCCCCCAGCCCCAAAAGAATGTGGCTACACATGATGGTTATCGATGAAGCCAACAATGGAATCCAGGCTCTTTTTTTGAGGACTAATTTTCCCTCTTCTCCATTTAGGAAAAGCCCCCTCCAGCAGAATCCCACAGCCCGTCCAGAATATTTGGGGCCATCCTCTCCATTATGTTGACCTGTGGAATTATCTGCATCACGGTGGCAACAACTGTCAGCTTCACCCGGGTTTCGCCCAAGGTAAGACGTGGCCTTTTGCCAGAGGGCTGTTAGCCCCAATTCTCCGTTTTTTTTGCAGGGATAGCTGAAAACTTTCTCTCCATCTGGGCAAGATATTGCTGCAGCCCTGCAAAGACCATGCAGAAGTCCATCTCAGTTTGAAGAATGGAAGCCATCATCCATTTGAATAATGGAAAATGGATAGAATTATTTCTGTTTAAGAACCTAGCTGGAAGAAGAAGAAAACTTTTTTTAAAGGGTTTTTTTTAATCCCATCTTTATATTTTTTGTAAATAACTCAAAGCAATGAAAATGCTTAATATGCTTAATCCGGCTGACCTTCTGTTCTGCCCCAGCTCCGGATTCCCGAGGATATTGACACACACCAACAGTCCTTATCAAATTTATTAAGTAACAAGAATAAACCAAAGTCCGGCAAAGGTTGGCAACCAGCCCAGAAAACAAGATATGATAAGACTTTTCCAAAAATGCTCTGATGATAATTACAAGTTGTTTCCAGCAAGAAACTTACTAAGGGCGTGTGACTTAAATAGGCTAAGGGAGTGGCCAATTATCCTCAAGCCTTACTCTCAAGAAGACCTCCTTCTGAGTAGCTACTCCTGCCTTTTGGCAGCCCTGCGTGCTCGAGCATTGAGAAGAGGCTCCTCCACTTCGCTCTCTCCACTTGAAGGAGCCTCTGGAGGTTCTGAAGGCCCTGGGTGAGTCTCTGCCTCTAGCACCATATCCTCTTCAGCCTCCTCGCTGTCCGATGCGAGCGCCGGCTGCGCTGGCTGCTGGCGTGACACCACACCAGCCTCCTCGTCGTCAGGATCAGCCATGATCCGTGCAGGCCACTGGCGGGCCACAACACCTTCATGTCTAAGGCAGGATTAGAACTCACCACCTACTGGCTTCTAGGCCAGCACCTTCACCAGACCGTCTCTTTCCTCCTACTATTTTCCACAGATTGCCACATTTGTATAAAAGCAATTTTTTCCCCACCCCACCAAATTGTACTGATAATACTAGAGGTATATCTACATTCATAGAAGAATATAGAAGGCAATAGAATCCTAGAGTTGAAGGGGCCTTTTGAGGCTGTCAAATCTGTTCAGGGCTGGAATTCAAATTCAGTCATCCCAGGCAAAGGGCAGCTCCCCTCCTCCTCACGATCTCCCTTGATAATCGGCTGCCCTGTCAAACTGCTCTTAATAGCAATCGCACTTAGACTTATATACCGCTTCATAGTGCTTTTAGAGCCCTCTCTAAGCGGTTTACAAAGTCAGCCTCTTGCCCCCAACAATCTGGGTCCTCATTTTACCCACCTCGGAAGGACGGAAGGTTGAGTCAGCCTTGAGCCTGGTGAGATTTGAACTGCCAAATTGCAGGCAGCCAGCCAGCAGTCAGCAGAAGTAGCCTGCAGTACTGCACTCTAACCACTACGCCACCATGGCTCATTAATCATATAGTACCACTGAAATCTATGAGATTTAATCTCTTATTTCATTGAAATGTAGGAGGTTTCATCTTAAAAACTGTGGGGGAAATGGCATGGTCTGTGACAAGACAAGAAAGACAACAACAAAGTGGAGATGAGGTGGAATGCATCAGATTGTGTTCCAAAAAAGTGCCTCTGTGCATGCAGAATTCCATATGTGAGCGTAACATGGGTCTGCAGTTCATTAAAGCAACTGCATCTCTTTCCAGGATCAGCTGCTTGATCCCAAGAAAAGCTACCACTGCTTTAAAGTTCTACATGTGATCTATCTGCAATTTTTCAGTCCCATGTGGTCCAGAAGACCTTTTCAGCATCCAGTTTGAAAGGCTGAACAGTCCTACCAAAGGGGAAAGAACCACCATGAAATGCTCAAAAACTAATTTTGAACAGGGATTCTTCTTCCTTGTCAAATCACAGAGAAGTGCTGTTTTTAAGTCCCAAAACTCCAGAACTGGCCCATGTTCCTCCCCAACCTCTTCACTGTCAGAGGCTGCCGCCAGCTCTGCTGGCAGCTGGCAGGCCACAACAGCTCTGACGAGATGGGTGGCACATAAATTTAATAAGCAAACAAAGATTCCGCCAAGAAGTTCCATACCGTCTTCTCGATTGAAATAAAGAACAGCACGGGATGGCTTGGAATCAGTCATTCTTTCTTTGCATCGGCCAGTCTGATCCAGTGTATGTGGTCGTTATCAGTTGGGGAAAACTTTCTGAGAAACTCACAAATCAAGTGATCTGCTTCTCTTCCACAACTGCCCAGCCTCTGCCCACTTCCATCCAGCAACCCACTGAAGGCAGTGTAGCTAGACTAGAGGCACAGAGGAATCCCTGCCATTATTTTAGGTTGTTAGCGTTACAATACAATATTCTTTGTTGGCCAAGACACACAAGGAATTTGTCTCCGGTGCATAATTTTCAGTGTACATACAAACAACAAACAACAAAGTAATAGAATCATAAGATACCACTAGGAGAAAGTAATAGGAAAGATGAGAAGGATAATAGCAATACAGCCCAACTATATGGGTGAAGTAGAGTAGATTAGAGTAGAGTAGAGTAGAGTAGAGTAGAGTAGAGTAGAATAGAATAGAATAGAATAGAATAGAATAGAATAGAATAGAATAGGAGTTGGAAGGGAACTTGGAGGTCTTCTAGTCCAGCCCCCTGCTCAAGCAGGAGAACCCATACCATTTCAGATAAGTCACTGTCTAGTCCATGGCTGCCATCTCTGGTCCAACTCCCAGTGGGGGTCAAAGGACAGATCTGGCATTTATCTCATGTAGTGACATGGTCTGGAACTGGGCGATTCGGCCATCGGTCCCCAATCACAGGCAGAACACCTCTGTTGGCCTTGGAGTTCCCTTGGCTGCACCATCCTGCAGGGAGATGGGACCCATTTGTATAGGTCTCTTCCCCCCCTCCCCCAGGCACCTGATGGACTCAACTGAGTTTTAAGGAACTTGGGTTGTTCCTGGTGCAGTTGATCCACTTGGAATGAGAACCGGAATGAGAACTAAATTGCACCTTCCAGAAGAACTGATTGCATCAGCAGAAGAGATGCCAGTAAAACAAATTCTGACCCTATTCGATCATGGCAAGGGCCTTTCTTAAGGATTATCTTGTGATAATAAAGATGGTGGGGGGAGGAAATAGCAATTTTTTTCTGCCCATCTCACATCTGAACAGAACTGGTCAATAGTCTGCTTAATATGACTTAGTTCCTTCTGGATAAGGAGGGAGCAATAATTGCAGAGTGTCAGCTGTCCCATCTCGGTCTGTTAGAAAAGAAAGACTCTCGAAATCCATTGTTAATGGAAGTACACTTTACTAAAGTCAAGTGGTTACAGAAGAAGCAAAGCCGGATCTGGGATTTTCACGCCCAAAGCATACGGTTAACTTTTCCCTCGTTCCCAACCTTCCCTCCTGGTTATCTTTAAGCGTCTAATCAAATTGTTTGGGTAATAGCCCCTGGCTTCACAGTCTGGTTCTGCATTCCATAATGTGACCTTGGAACAGCTGGCAGCTCTTGGGGAACAGCACAATGTGTAGTTTTGATTCCTCTCATGCTAGTCCCCCCCCCCCCCCCCCCCCCGTTGTCCCCCCCCCCCCCCGCTGCCCCCGCTGAGTATGGCAGGCTGGCAGTAAATAAAGGATGCCATAGCAGAGTGGCATTCCTGACACAGAGCCTCTGTAAGGACTATTCCTGGCATCTGGATTGAGTTACTCAGATTCATTTGAAGTTGGATTTTAACCATGCAGATCCTAGGGATCAGATACCTGAGGTGTGATCTAGCAGGATTATCTGGGAGGATTGTGAGGCTTTTGGTCCTGGTGAAGAAAACAAGGTCCTTGGAGCTATTAGTTCAGTGTTTTAAATTGAGATGATCTATCCAGTAATTTAAAATAAAGCAGAAAGTTGAAGGTGCCATGGGTTTATCTGCATCCTCTCCGTTAAATACAATTCAGACAACTGTATCAGAGCAGCCTCAAAATGAAAACTCACAATACCCCATGCATCAGAAGAACATGATGGACTGGAGACTAAAACATATGAAGAACTGAGCATGGCTAGTCTAGTGAAGAGAAGGACCAGGGGAGACAGGATAGTGGGGTTCCAATATTTGAGGGGCTGCCACAGAGGAGGGGGTCAAGCTATTTTCCAAAGCACCTGAAGGTCAGACAAGGAATAATGGATGGAAACTGAACAAGGAGAAATTCAACCTGGAAATAAGGATAAATTTCCTGACAGAACAATCAACCCATGGAACAGAAGTTGCCTTCAGAAGTTATGGAAGCTTCATCACTGGAAGCTTTCAAGAAGAAACTGGACTGCCTTCTATCAAAAATGGTACAGGGTCTCCTGCTTGGGCAGGGGGTTGGACTAGATGTCCTACAAAGTCCCTTCCAACTCTGTTAATTCGGTATTAATCTATATGGAAGCCTATCCAATGAAATCCGGTAACCAGTGAGAAGCAGCACCCACCCATTCCTGCATATCAAGAAAGAACATATAAATATGGACAATGCCCTGTTCAATCTTTGACTGTCCTGGTTGGTCAGGGCTTCTTGGTTGTGATGTGAGGTTGGCCATGTGTCGGTTAATGCCTTCTTCAAGTAGGGGATGGTTCCATCTGCTCTGAACAAGGTGACTCAAGGAGCCTTTGCTGGACACCCTAGAACTGGACAATTTTATCTGTTCTCCATTTTTCTTCCTCCTTGGGAGAGTTGTTAAGAAGAGTGATGGGCTTTAGCTCGGGAGGAGCCTGGAAGAAACTGATTATCTGCATCCTTCTCAATCAAGTTCAGAATTGTTTACAGCACAGAGATGGCCTTGATTGCACCCAATCAAATTTAATGGGACATGGATGGAGGTGGCGCCTCTACATTGTCTTCCCCCCTTGATTTAACAATGGGATTTGGTGGAACTGATTATGGTCTCCTCAGTGGTGGAATCCAGATTTTTTTTTACTACCAATTCTGTGGGCGTGGTGTGGGTGTGGCAGGGGAAGGATACTGCAAAATC